CTGAAATATTATTTAGAATAATTACTGTAATACTTTTTGTGATGTGATGTATGTGAGATAAAAAAGTGATTGGAAATATAAAAAGATAGGTTAAAAAATGTGTTTATGATGCAAGCGAAATATTATTTAAGATATTTTTCCTATCCAAACACTCCTCATTTGTTCTGAATACAGAGATGTAACAAATTCTGAAGGATTTCCTTTGTCGTAGAGAAAAGTGCATGGTCGTCTGAGGGTTAAGACTCCTGATGTCACTAAGCTGAAAATGCTGGGATTTTGAATAATTATCTGCTTTTATCATATAGCATATAGATGCTAGTATGCTGCTACTAAGTTAAGGAGCGATAACTTTTGTGCTTTGGCTCACACTTGAAATAGATCTAATTGTCAGAAATACAATGGTCTAGATTATAGCACACATCTCACTAAATGGTGTTGCACAATCTGATTCACTAGATTTTTGAAAGTCGATTCTACCAAGTTTTGACCAAGATAACGTATCAATAATCAAAGTAGAGAAGGTGTAGCGGAAAAATACTGGGATGTGATGTGTTTCGGTACGGCGCCCTTGTACTGGAACCTCGCCATGATGTGAGATTTTTCCTGTGGTAGATACTCAACTAAAACCCCTCTTAGACGTTCTTGGATCATCAATAACAGGATTTGATTCCAAGGGCCTGCAGCAAATGAAACAGAATTCTTCCTGATGAATAATTCTTCCATGGTAGAATAGAATGAGGTAGCAGAAAATGGTGCATGCTGGCAATAGTAGATTCTTTTCTTTGCAGGTGGTAAGCCTCAATGTTAGCATCCTTGACCGAAGTAATCTCTGTAGGTGCAGATCATTTCTTGGAATTCATTCATTTCGTGGATGAGAAAAACGGGGATATTCATTTCGTGGAATTCATTCTAATCTCCGAAGTGGGAATATTCTCTCTCCTTCTGGATGGATTTGCAGAACTTGACATTAGATTGGTCGGAGGTCTTTGTAGATTAATTTGTTGTGCGATTGATAAACTTTCGAGTTGTATGATCTTCTTCCCCTGATCTTTCAAATCGTTGAAGGTTAAAAATATTGAGTTCCCCCCGCGGCCCTTTTATTAAACAAGCAAGTAGGCTCGAGGAGATTAGAAAGCTAGAGAGAGGAGTATGTATATTTGTACATATAAGCTCTCTTCTAGTATTTTAGAATTTTAAAAGAGCCAAAATTGAAAGATGGTTTAATTGAATTCAGAGTTTTGAAAAAGGTAAAGAACTAAAATACAAAAATGGTTTGTAACATTAGTTATTGGAGAAACAGAACTTGAAATTTTTTTTTAACTGAATATTGTGTCAAGGGTACAAATATGAAATTTGGGATTTATTTATTTTCATTTATGAACCATGACAAGCATTTTAAGATGAAGCAAAATAAAGTATATAATGAGGGCTCAGCACTGCTTACAGAAATGCAACATATAATCTTAGAAAAAACAGCAAACGTTATAACATAGTAGTATAATGTAAGTTTTTTTTCGTAAATATATATATATATACACACACACATATATACCATGACAAGCATAATGAGGGTTCAGCACTGCTTACAGAAGTGAAACCGAAGACACCCAATAACATTCTGGAGTTTCAAGAGGACAGCACCATCCTTTAATTTACAGCTTGTTCTCGTAAAAATTTCCCCAGCCAAGTCAAGTTTCCCTGAATTTCTTACACATGGTTTCAGGTAAATTTAATCTACTGCAAATATGGTACCTTCCTAACTCATCAATACATACTGATAAAATTCCTACCCATAAATCATTGATTTCAACTTTTGCATAGACTACGCAAGAAGAATCTTCAGTGATCTTGTCTCACTCCAATTTTCACTTCTGTGACTTCTTCCACTTCTTGTGGTGCTTCCCGTGAGTTAGCGCACTGCTGGTAAACAACACATAAATCAATATTCGGGGAGGAAAAGGCGGTAGAGAAAATCATAATGTGGTGTGGTTTGTGTTCAATCATAATGTGAAGTGACAATTTCAAGAATTAGATACTCACCTGTAACTCCTTGTAGATGGTCTTGGCTCATCCCTTAGACTGATTCGGGCAAGTTTACTTGCCAAGTGTTCACTTGGATCATCACCAGTAACAGATTTTGATTCCGATGGCCACGTAGCTGGAACTACTAAATTCCTGCAGCAAATGAAGCCTTTGTATTCAGCTCTTCTTAACTTTGGCTAGACAACCTATTAAAGTTTCTACAAGATGGTGATCCAGAGTACGCACTTAATACTGAGAATGGCGATGCAAACAGAGATTAGTGACCGAAAAAATGGGTGTGAGAGGAAAAGTTAAAAAGATAGAGAAACCAGTTTGTGACTTTATGCCAGAATCAGCTGCTCCTCTACGATAGAAATTGAGAGGCCGAAAGAATGCCATTCGAACAGAATGTACTAATGCAAAACATTAACTATGACAAGATTATAGATTGTAAGGTTACCCTTCCATCCGTTTGACTTTGCAACGATTCACAGTGTTCAGTGTGTAGCTTCCAAATATCTTGTCAAGTTGCTTTGCCAAGTTTGGTATCTCCGAGTCTGCCAAAATATCCCAAACTTTTATAACTTGCATGTCAATTGAAATGAACTTCTGGATGCCGACTGTCCACATCAGTTTCAGACCCTTCACATCATACATCTCCAACAACAGGGAAGAAGTACCATTAATCTTGACCAAGATAACGTATCAATAATCAAAGTAGAGAAGGTGTAGCGGAAAAATATTGGGATGTGATGTGTTTCGGTACGGTGCCCTTGTACTGGAACCTCGCCATGATGTGAGATTTTTCCTGTGGTAGATAACCTACTCAATTCTACTAGTGTCACTTGGAGGCTGGCGCCAGCCGCTCGGAAGCTTCACTAGAAGAGAAAGAACTTCCTTGCAGATCTCAGGATCCCGAATTCTTGCAAGTGATTTTGAAAAATCATCGCTGAAGCAAACCTATTGTATAAACCCAAGGATAGTTGAATCAGTCAGCAACACCACTTGTAAAAGGAAATTATAGCGAGCATTAAATAAAAACTACCAAAAACAGCAACAAACTAGCCCACCAAGTTATTACTTTAGTATGACAACTGAGACATACTTTCCACCTCGCTGTTTTGAACAGCACTGAGTCGGTACTGAGTAGGTTATCAAATTGGCCTAACTCAATTAAGGCAGAAGAAATTGCTTGAACCAAGATCTTGCTATCTCTAGCATTATGGAAACAACCCCGAGCCTTTGTGTCCAATACTAGTTTCTTCCAAATGGAGTGACTATTCACGAGGGTTGCACTATTTCCCAGTATCCAAAGGCAGTGCCTGTAAATCAAGCCATAAGTGCTTTTACAAACAACGTGCTTGTGCATCATCTTGCACGCATAAAATAGAGAGGACCTATAAAATTCATTTATGTTCAAGTTTCTCTTACATTAAATTCATACCTCGCTCGAGTGAGAGCCACATTAGTCCTTTGATGGTTGGAAAGGAAGCCAACTGATCCACCCCCATTACACCGCACTGTTGAAATAATTATTACATCTTCTTCCCCTCCTTGAAATCCATCGACAGAACGAACATTAACAGAGAAGTCACTGCCTGTGTCCGTACTATATTTCTGGCCAAGTTTTTCCTGAATTGCAGAAACTTGAGCTTTGTAGGGTGATATGCAGCCAACACGGAGCTTCTGCTTTGAAATGAGAGACCCTATTGAGAAAGGGACGATGAGATATCAGCTTAGCTGCATACAAGTCCAAAGAAAAAGGAGAAAAAAAAATATGATACTCTAGAGTTTGCAGGGAAGCATACTTTTATGAAGGTTAGCAATGATCTCGGCAACTACATAAACCTCCACGAGATTTTTCCTACTATGCTTGTCATCAAACTGCTCTTTACCAGGGTTGATGTCAATGAATGAGTATGATCCAAAAATGGACCCTTCCAGGAAGTGCTTCTTGTATTTTCCATCCTTCACATTGGGACCATCCATTATTAGCTTTGCATAGAACTCCCTATTTGGAAATAAGCTGATCGATGGATGCATCCTGTACTGGACATTGAGAAGGTGCTTTTGATGTCCTAACATCACTAGCCTTTCAAATAAGCTTCTTCCAAAGTTGGCCTTCTCACATATCTGCTTACGACATACCAGAAGAGTCAGAAACAGAAACACATTAAATTTCTAAAAATAGACGAGTAAAACATGTTCAATTCGACAACCTGGCTTTGAACCATTGCTGGTAGTTGTTTCTCATCTCCAATAAGTATAGCATGGCGGATACCAGGTATCTGAAGGGGTATAGCGGACTCGCATTCCTTCAACTGTGCAGCTTCATCAATGACCAATAATTCCAGCGGTGCTATTCCTTCCACATGCAACTTAGCTGAGGTTGAAGCAGTACAAAAGACCAAGAAAGATGTCTGTAAACAGAAGCTTCTAATTTGATAATCTTCAGAGAAGCTTGGAAGAGAGATTTTTTCTTGAAGATGTTTCAGGTTTTGCAGGCATCCCATTCTAGGCCTTCGCAATTCAATGAAGCGTCTTTTCCTTCTTTCTGCAGTTTCAATTCCATAGATGACTTCTCTTAGCCCTTCATTAGCAGAAGTGACCTTATGTATCAAAGATCCAAGAGCTTGTAGCATGCCAGAAACCCTTTTCATATTCTTTGCTACCTCCACTGGAATGAAAGATGTAGGCATGTGGGTGTACAAGCTTGTTATACAAAATATTAGCTGAGTCCCAATCAATTTAAATTCCTTGATAAAAAACTCATCAAATGACGGAAGAGTAACCGACTTATTGTCTGGCTCTCTTTTGTTTGTCTTGCTACCAGCAATATTTTTCTCCTCCATGTTGTGCTTCGATTTCTTAGAAGCTGCTTTGTCCTTTGATTTTTTCTTCTTGTTCTCCTTTAAAGTTTGAACAATAACTTTCTTAACAGATCATAGGCTTATTCTTTTTTGAGCCTTGACTGTCAATCTCGTCCACTTTGCCCTGGCTGTCACTTATATTAGTATTTTCAAATAGTCCTCCTTCCACCTCACCCTCCTCATCACTGGGACGTTCTTCATCATCACTTTGATCCTTTTCCCTCTCTTTCTCCAAATACAGCTGATACTGTTTCTCAGGATCTTCAAGCAGCCGTATCATAGATTCAGTACTGACTTTCCACCCAGAAAAGTCCTGCCCCCTTTTCTAAATCATCGTTGGTAGAAGTTGTCGAGTTGGCAGCCATTTCCAAATTGGCCGTAGCAGATTGTTTGTTTCTCCTTAAAGCTTCAATTACTATTAATCTACCCACAATCAAGATTGCTCCAGCTGCTGTTAAGTCTGCAACTAATCCAATTTTCTTTGCTTTACTCCCACGCGTCTTTGCTATATCGAGGTTCGAGCTAAACTCCCATGATTCAAGTGTGTGTCTTTCAACATACGGACATGTGGCAGCTGAAAATCCAACTGCAGCCCATTGAGGAAGAATCTCCTTCAAATTTATCTGATAAGAAATACTAGAGTTAGGACTTGATCCATAACTCCAGAAAACACTCAGATTTTTCGTAGAAGAATTGTAGATAATCCAAGCATCAGCAGGGTCTTCCCTGCGCAAGCTGGCATTCCAGGACGTGGTTATAGAGGAAGTAATTGAATTATTGTTGATACCAACATGTTCAAAAGGAGGATCCCATTCTGGATTTGCATACGAATCAAATTCAATCAAAACTATTGGGTTGTCGGAGGAATCAATTGTGCTGGTATTAAACAATCCTAGAAATCCACCGCCCGAGTTTGGTGGGATTTGAAAACCAACAGGAGCAAGAAAGAAAGCAAGCCCCTAGCCATAAGGGGTACGATTTTGAGTGTCAATGATGAAGGAGAAATGAGTAGTGAAGTCAGCTACTTTCCCTGAGTGCGAATCCCAGATAGGAACAGGCTCTGAATAGATAGATTGACCAACCTGATAAAGATAATCAACATTGTTGAATTCAATTTCTCCAACTGAAGCTATTGCATCTCCTCGATAGAGTATGGCGCTTAAATCAGGAGTAAACCGAGTTATCTGAAATGAAACGGCATTGGCCAAGCAAAGAACCTGGAAGTAGGGAATCAAGAAAGCAAATCTATTGAATTCAGTGGCCATGATGGACTCTACTGTATGAGCAAAGTGCTAGACTGCTAGCTACATAGTATATACTTCCATGAATGTAATGATAATATTATATAAAGTGTATTATTTGGTCAAAGTCTTGGGATTCAAGTTTCAACTATCCAACATTCTGTATTTTCTCGGATGATCTTTTTACCTCTGTAAGAACCGGCCAAGAAAGAGAAGCAAACTATAAAGATTGACTCGAATTTCTAGAGAAGTCAAGTGATGATGTTCTCAAATGTACAATTAGAATAACTATTTCGGCTTTTTTATTTACTTTTATCTTATCTTTTTGGGATGTCAGCAGAAAACAAAATCAGATCCCATCAGCACTCTCGAGAGTCAACGAGTGTCTTGTTATTATTTACATTTTAATTTTCTAATAATTCAACTTGGTTTGGTTTAACACAAGTGTAAATAATAACATGACACTTGGCGCAATACTATTAGTGACATTGGGTTGGCATAGAAAACATGTCACCGAGAATCCCAAGTGCGCTGCATGTATTCTGCTTATGTATTGACACTCATATATATGACTAATACGAGTAACGTGGAGTATTTTTATTGATCAAACACTAACTGCTCCACTTGCTATGTGGTTGCTTTGAGCCTAGACAAAATTTGTTGGTATTAACATAAGAACATAATATGGTATAGAGATGCAACCTAACGGCATTATTAGTTCCAAGCTCTAATTAATTCTCACCCAAAAAAGAAAAAAATAAAAAATAAAAATTTCTAAAGGCTAATAGTGTCAATCCCATTTTTAATCATTACACTTTGGACTGGACTATGTTGCCTTCCCTAGATGCGTCATGGATGTATCCAAAAATTAATCGGTTGAAAATTAGATGAGCAAACAGGTTTTTGAGAACGAATTATCTACATGTGATCATACCAGCACAAATATACCAAGATTTTATTAAAGTATTTGAATTGAAGTTAATTCTTTTTTTTTTGGAATTGGTGATTCTTTGGAAAATTCTCGAGTTACACCCCATTCTTTGAAGGGATCAAAGAAAGAGTTATCTAAATGAGTTGTTAATTTTAGTTGAAAATATAATCATAGTTGGAATGAAACTGTGATGAGAAAATAGCATCGACTCTTTTAAGGTCACAAACAAAAGAAAAGAGAAAAAATTTTAAAAATTATTACATGTTTATGAGCATACTTTTCAACAGCACATTTTTCTACAAAAACTCAAAAAAAAAAAAAAAAGAACAATCCAAACGGATTTTAAGAATTCAAGAACCAGACAAAGGGTCTGTTTGGTAAACAAGTTTTTGATCGAGTTTGTCTGCTATAAATTTTTTAACAATTTTAACTACAGTAATCTTAAAAAATTTCACAAAATTTTTAAACTATACATTTCAAAATATCTAAATATTTACATGCTTTAAAAAATTTATTTATAATTTCTATAATAAATTACAGTAAAATTTTAAATAAACATCTAAAAAGTTCATTTGCCAAACGGAGCATGAGCATTTTAAGTTTCTTCACTCAGCAGAGAAGTACACGTTTACTCGCTTCGATGCACGAGAAAACCATTTCTACTGTAGTTGTAGTACTCAATTAATCGATTAACACGTTACCCGCCAAAAATTATCAAACTAACCAACTTACACATTGCTTGGGGGTTTGGGTGTTGGGTTTATAAGTCTCCTCAGTCACTAGTTACCATGGCTTTTGAGGTGTACTGTGGACTTAGGTTTGTAAAGTCAATAGTCAGATTTCTTGAAGTTGACAAAAAAAAAATAACCAACTTACACCTGCGGCGGAAGAGCGGGTGAGTTGATGACATCCATGGCGGCTGAGGAGGATGAAGGGCCGCGCCGAATCGAACCCACCAAATTTGATCTAATTATGGTGGGCATCGGACTCCCCGAGTCCATCATCGCCGCCGCCGCAGCATCAGCCGGAAAGACCGTGCTTCAAATCAACCCTGACGCTTACTACCATAGCCCCTTCGCTTCCCTTTCACCCAAAGACCTCATCTCTTTCCTCCACCTCCATTCTGCTACTACTTCTGATCATGATTATACTGATTTTCGTACGGTCGATTCACCAGTCGACTACTCATTCAACATTCTGCCCCTCACTGCAAAAAGTTTTGGATGACTCACTGCAAAAAGAATTTAACCTTGATTTAGCTGGGCCTAGAGTTCTGTTCTGCGCGGATCCCATGGTGGTTTTGATTGTGGATGTGGATGTTCAGAACTGCATGAGTTTCATGAGCGTGGACACCAGCTATTGTATTTATGATGAATGCCAAGAAGGCAAAGGTGGCGGGTTTTTGTGGAATAGTGTGCCGGATTCACGTAACGCCATATTCAGAGGTGGAACCTTGAGCTTGAAGAAGAAGAATCAGTTGATGAGGTTCTTCAAGCTGCTTCAGGCCCATTATCATTCCAATTCTAAATCTAGTACTAAGACTAGTAACGAGGAGGAGGACGAAAATAATAGTATCAAAATCACCCCAGAGCATTTAGAGACTCCATTTGTGGAGTTTTTGACTCGGAAAATTCGCTTGTCTCCCAAACTAACATCGTAAGTAGATAACCAATTTCTTCCATTTACCATTGATTTCTCTTTTTGTGTTGCTTATTTGACTAGAAAGCTCTGAACTTATATGAATTTCTACTGTGTTACGTTTCTTTTTTACCTTCCCTTTTTTGGTTTGATATAGCACGGGACGGTTTTACCTTCACTTCTTACCGATTGGCTTCTTATTGACTTAAATTTTAGCCTGATACTATGAGTGAATACTGCCTGAATTATGACTCTGTTTACTATACCCGAAGTGAAAGTAAATTTCCAATTCTGACATGTTTTGATCAACTAGTGTAATACTTGTAACTTCTCTTTTCTTAAGGATGCATTTACTTGGAGTTTAGTTGCATTTCAGCATATTTTTGACTTTTGATATATTTTTTGCCTGTCTGTCTAAGATCATTTTATATGCGATTACGATGGCAGATTATGAACAGGACAATGTGGAAGCTTGCAAAAAGGACATTGTCAAGACAAAAGTGGGGATTGATCGTTTAATGCTTTATCATAAATCCGTCGGCAGGTTTTCGTCTTCTATCATGTTTGTTTCATTTGAGAACCACATCCAATGTTGTTATGTACATATTCATTGATTCTTAAGTTTGTATGAGGTAGAGAGCAATGACGGAGCCAAGGGGGGCAGAGGGGGCCATGGCCCCCCCTAAGTTTTGAGAATTTTAATTCATAATATGTAAATATGTGTGTAAAATAAAATTGGCCCCCCCTAAATTTTTTCAATTTTAGTTTATATTATGAGAGTTGATATATATATATATATATATATATATATATGAATTAGTCATCTTTGAATGGAATTTCAATTTTGGCCCCCCAAAAAAAAAATCCTGGCTCCGTCACTGGTAGAGAGATTGGGAACTATCAACATTAACTTGATTCTCAACGGCGAGTAAAACACGCAGACAACATTTTGCAGTTAAGGGGAGTAAATGTTCTTACGCTCAGGATTATTTTCATTCTGTCTTGTGCTACTCTGTATGTTGTCCAGTCCAAAATGATCACATCTCCCCAGGTTTAATATTTTTTTTATGATCTCTTAAAACTCTTGCTTTTCTTATTAGAGCCCATCTGGGATTCATCAGTTGTATGATTTGTGTCATTGATTTTATAACCTGCATCATAGTCAATTTGGCTATAATGCCACCATTGTTGTGTTTAAAAGTTTCTGGGTTTAAGCAAAGGTGCTTCTCCTTGTACTTCATTGTAGTTCTTTGTTCATTTTTCCTGTAAAGAAGTAAAGATATGAATACGTTCAGTTCTTTTTCCAGTTTTGAAATTTCATGTTCAAGGGCATTACTGTATCAACTTGTGCTAAGCAGTGGTGGTGGTAATGGCACTAGCAGCAAGCTCCCAAGCTTCCCCTTTTTCGTCTGTGGCTTTCGTCTGTCGAGGGAGAGAGCCGAGAGGGATGTGAGAGTTGGAGTGTTTTCTTTTTTTGTTTTGCTTCTCTGATGGAGTGTTTTGGGAGAGACCGAGAGTGAGAGAGTGAGGGAAAATGGAGTTGGTTTTTTTTTCTTTGCTTGTCTGATGGTCCTCTCTTGTAGGGCTGGGCGCGGGTCGGGTACCCGTCTCATTCACCATTTGGTTGATCCGAGCCATATCTTGCGGGTCTGTCATTTTCTGACCCTTACCCGCCCCGCATATCAGCCGGTACCTTATAATCGGGTACCCGTTGAGATAGGGTCGGGTCAGCGGGTACCCGTCCCGTCCCATTTATCATTTAATTTTTTTTAAAAAATAATTTATACCAATTTAATTTTATATTTTACATATTCATCTAAGATTTAATAAATTTTTTTTCTAAAAAATTGTTTTCCACCAAGAAACAAGCATGTGAAGAGAATATAAGATAAAGGAAAAAAATTAAAAGAATTCAAAATCAATAAAAGTTTGAAATAAGTAGCACAATTTTTAATATATATGTTTCACATTAATTAAATTTTTTTCTATAAAAATATAAGATCATGGCCTCTACAAATAAATCTTGTAAATAAACTATAGTCTCTCATATTTGTAATGCAATTTGTTCAATAAAATTACTTATTTAGTTCTAACTTATTATTTTATAGTGTGTGTATAAAAATAAAAAATATATATATATATGCGGGGCGGATCGGGTACCCGTAGGTTTTTAATTATGTGACCCTAACCCGCCTCGCATCTTAGAGGGTACCCGACCCTCTTTTGACCCGATCAAATAATAAAAATCGGATATCCTATTTTTCGGATCGGATCGGATATGAAGGGTTTTCGGGTTAGCGGATAATTTTGTCCACCCCTACTCTCGTGTGTGAGAGCTGAGAGAAGTATTAATTGGTGGGGAGTTGGTTTCCTTTCTTCTCCAAGGGATGGTCTTCCCACCTGATGAAAAGAAAGAAGCATGGCCATTGAGTGTAAAAATGGGTTAAGTGTATTTGGTGGAGAAAAATGATTAGGATGATTTGATTTCTTGATTTTCTCTTTTTTTTCTTTTTGTTGCTATTTTGCTTTGTTTTGTTGTTTTTTTTTTGTCCTAAAACAAACCTGCAAAATGAGAAAAACATACATTAAAATGCAAGAAAATAAATAACTCATTAAATAGAAAAAATCGAAGAAAACATTAAAAATTGACAAAATTTTAGTGTCTACAGTATTCGAGTACATTTCAAGACTCGTCTGCTTAGTCGAGCGAGTTTGAACCTGACTCGAACTAAGCACGAGTCAAGTTCAATAGTCAAATATTCGATTCGACTCGACTCAACACAATTAATAACACTAATCACTGTAGATGTATATTGGGGTGTTTTTAAAATTTAATATTTTATTGTAGAATTTTTTAAAATTTCTTCCCTGACCTATCCCACATTAGCACCGCCACCAATCCCCTTCTCTTCTCCCTCCTTCTTAGGGATGGCAACGGGCGAGGTTGGGGCGGGGGACCCCACCCCCCGCCCCGTTGCCTATTAATTCCCCCCGACCCCCCTCCCACTCCCCCCACCCGCCCCGCCCCCGCCCCGCCCCGCTTCCCCCGCGAGGTTAATAAAATTGTTCTCGCAGGGTTAATAAAATTTTATTATAGTTAAATTTTAATAAATAATCAAGTACTAAAATATCAACACATCATCAAGTTATTATTCATTGTAATTTTACAATTGAAACTCATAAAAATAATCAAACAAAAGTTATTTGAATACAATCCAACATGATGAAATAAATACAACTAAAATAGTCAAGTTTTCACTTTTGGTACAAATACAATCACTAATTCATTATTGTGTTTGTGCTTTTTTTTGAAAAAAAAGTGTTATTCTATTAAGTGTAATTAGAAATTTAGTATAAATGTATTAGTAAATTTAGTATAACTAATTAATAAATTCTATTAGTAGACATGTCTAATTATTCATATAATTGATAATATCAATTATATTACATACACTAATATACATTATATAATACATCTAACTAATAATATCATTATCATAAATTTATAACTAATTAAATTACATATTATATATATTTATTTATATATATATATACTTTTTTTTGCGGGTGGCGGGACAGGGGATGGGGCGGGGTATACTCCCCCGCCCCGTTTCTAAATAGGGGGGAAAAATTCCCCCCAAACCCCGCCCGAGAGCCCCCCGCGGGGGCAGTTGCCCGCGGGCACCCGCCCCCATGGCCATCCCTGCTCCTTCTCCTTCCTTCATCTCTTTCTTCTTCCTCTCTCCTCCTCTCTCCCTTTCATCTTCCTTCCTCTCCCTTCCTGTCTTCTCCCACCAAACCTCTCCCTTCAGCCCTACACGGTCCAACCTTTTCTTGCATCTTTCTATAAATATCAGTTTCAATCAAAATTTTAAATCCTTCAAGTATACATTGAACCCATTCGAGATCCGTTCTTTCTTTCTTTCTTTCTTTTAGTTCATTGTTTGATTTATAATTTAAGATCATCTACATTTAGTGTTTGTTTTTTGATTTGTATTTGGTTTGATTTACCCAAATTTCCAAAACATAATTCACATTTAGAGAAGGAAGATGAATTCAAACTACGGAAAATCCAATAGCAAATCGGGCTCCTTAAATAGTTTTGACTTCAATTTGGGTCTTGGGCAGTAGGGTCCTTGATCTCTTAATGATCAAAAGAATCAAACTTCTCCATATGGCTCATATTCATCAGCTTAGGCAAATCCCATCACGATGCCGTCTTGGACTCACCAGCCTATTAACAAACCCTCATGGCAGGCGGGGAAGGAAAAGGATGGGTTTGGTAGGGGAGGAGAAGAGGAGGAGGAGGAAGAAGAAGGGGAGAAAGGAGGAGAGAGAAAGAAGAAGGAGAGAGAGGAAGGAGACGGAGGAGAGAGGAACAGGAAGGGAAAAGAGTAGGGTGAGCATCGAATTCGAATTCGGTAATTCGGTAGCTTGAAATCGGTAATTTTCGGTAAATGGTTATGGAAATATTCGACCTAATTCGCATTCGAATTAGAGACTACCGAATTCGAATTCAACCCGAATTCAATTCGGTAAACCAAAAAAATACTGAATTACCGAATTCCAGAAAACTGCTTCTTCGGCCCATTTTTCATCAGCAAATAGCAATGCTATTGAACTAAGCCACAACTTACAAATTGTTCGAATGTAACTGATCACAAATCACTCCAGAAATTCGAAATCAAAACAACACACAATTCACATTGATCATTAAAATTCAGAAATCATAAACAAATCCACAAACAAATTACACTGATCCACAAACAAATCACAAATGACAAACAAATCCAGACATCACAAATCAGAAATCACAAGTCCAGAAATCACACTGTTGCCCTGGTGCTACAAATCAGAAATTCCACTGATCCACAATCATAAATCAATCTAGAAATCATAATGAAACAAAAATAAAAGTCTAAATTAACTTGTCCAAAAATCACAATCCACAATCCACAATCTAGAAAGCCACAAACTGCAATCCACAATCCAGAAACTGCAATCCAGAAACTGCAACTTCAG